ACACTTAGAATCCGTAATCGTAGAAAAAAGTATTCGAATTGTTACTGTTAACGCTGCTAGAAAATTGTTGTTATTTAATTGTTGAAATTATTTAATAAAGAAGTTATTTGGCTTGGTAAGTTAACTCGAACCATCAATTAAGCTATGTCGATCTTATGCGGATATAGGCGAGATGAATAATAAGATACTACTCTAAAGAGCTAAGATGGGGCATTGAATATTATTATCTTACCTAATCCTATCTTATCTAACTATGTATCTATCTCTCTGTGTACCTATCTATCTATGTATTTATATATCTATCTATCTCTTCTATTCCTTTTCGTTTTCTCTTGAAAAGACCCACAACGAAAAGTAGCTTTTCCTGTAGTTGTTCTATCCGCAATTCCGTATTGGTTTTTTTTTGTACTGCATAGTGTTTTTCAATGTTCGAATGTTGTTTTCGAATTTAATGCGGTATCCGCGAAACACAGATTTGGCGTCAGACGGCTGTCAGAAGCCAATGGAACGGAATTATACTGCCATGATAACGTAGATCCTCGCTGACCAACCAAGAGTCCTTGCCAAAGCTAGGACAAACATCTCCAATGACGTGTCACATCAAACGGCAGAGATTAATATTTGTTATCTTCACTCTCCCTCTAATTGTCATCACGGCCACCATCGAAGCGCGTGCGAAACAAGGTCCCTCAGACGACTCGTGATGTTAGGCTGATTATTTGCTTAAATTAAAAGTCTCACCTTGTACCGGGTCGATTCTTTGGGAAATAACAGTATGTCTTTCATCTCGGCCAAATCGGTCTGCGTCACCCGCCATTATTCCACTATTACAACTAACTACGGTTCTGACCTTTGAATGGGTACCGGAAGAGGCGGTACCGTTTCCGCGAGAGCGAATCTCAGAACATAATGGACATGAATCACATTTACGTACTTGTATTCAGTACAACTCTAATACTCTATCTGAATAGTTAGCCCAGCATATATCTCTCCATCTGTGTGTATACGAAAGGAAACGTTCAATGTCTAATTTAAAAGTAGACAAAATACCATCCTTTTTAGAATGACCCAGCCATAGTTGATTTCCATTTCTTATTTAAATAGGTTTTTGACCGTTTTCTATCCGCTGGCAGGCGCTACTCGGCTGTTATTAAAAACCGGAGTCACATCATCTCTTCCTCTTCGAAAGAAGTCTAAGCAAATTTTTATGCTGTTTCGGGCTCTTGTATGGATGAGATCAATTTTACGTTTAGTTGATTGTTTCAATAGATACACTGTTCGAACAAATTATAAAAATGGTACAACAACAATGATAATAGTAGTAATGCAAGAGAGGGGAGCGCTAACTCTTCAGGCCAGGGAGGCGTAAACTAAAAGCTTTTTTTTTAGAACCTACGCCGTGCGATAAAATGAAGGGCAGTCCGGCCTGGCCTTCATACTCCTTACACGATAAAATAGAGGAAGCAATAGCGTGGACCCGCATGTTTCTGGTGCGTAACGAAAACGATAAGACAAACTTTGTCGTCTTATGCATGCAGCGCCGATCCAGTTCACCGATCCTCATCTCTGAACGAAAGCAAGCAGAATATAGAAACAAAACATAAACATATTAGAACGACAAACAAACGTTCCAACCGAATGCAGGATTTCTCTTTAGTCTAGCTACCATATGCCGCCAAATTGTATCTATATGCTTGTCTAGATACAAACCGGCTAAATAAATAAAATAAACAGTATTGCAAACGTTAATTAAGAAAAACACGCATATTATCAACAAAGGGCTATGACGACTGTTGTCTCAACAAAGATTGTGCTTTCTGAAATAACTTTTAGGTGAACACGAGAAATAAAATAAATAGCTTTTTATCGATGATTACAAAGAATGTTAAGAACAAAGAACGATTTCGCGTTCCTCAACCGGATCCAAGCAGTGGTAAGAAAGACCCAAAGACGCGTGGCTTCACGCTGCTTTTTTCTTTCACATACGCTCATATGAATGCATGTATACTTCATTTTCCAACATCCATTCAACTGCCTGGAATAGCTTCGTGGAATCGTAGAAGGTGCGGCGTTAACAGGCCACCATTACGACGTTGCAAAAAAAATTCTCGTAAGTCTACATTGGAATCGTTTTCGTTCGATGTAAACTTTGTTAGATCAAGGAAAGCCGGCCAAACTAGAGGAGGTAGTTCACCATTGAACGTTTTGTAGGCGGTTGTCCGGGCCACGTAGTTGTCGTCAGAGTAGCAGCAATCGTCGTCGTCGCAGTCTCTCATCTTCACCAAGATCTGTAATGCTATTGAGCTTCGCGTTGTTGCCATTGCTCGAAGCTGTAAAAAACCAAATGTTTACTACTTGTGACAGAAAACCCAACAGCCATCTAGCCACTCTGTAATTTCATGGTGTTACATAGGCTACCGCAAAAACTTCTGTAGTAAGATGCAGATCCGTAACGGTAGGTATGCCAATGTACAGGATTGCCATTGGTCTAATTTTTCTTGTATCGCTTCACATCTCTTTTTATTTTCCTAGTCGCCTGACCGTTCATCGCGGTAACCGGCTCTGCCGCTTCGCTGTCTGCCAGAAAGTTCTGGTCCTGTATACAACTCTGTAATTTGTCCTCGTATCGCCTCGATCTGCTCTGACGGTCCTGAGTAGGCCGTATTATGGGGTGTCCGTTGCTATCCAGTCGTGCGCTAGTGTGGCACCTTCTTCTACGCCCTTCTACAGCTTTCTCCGGGACATGGCTATGCTGCTGTTATATCCGTAGAGAGAAACGCGTTTCTCTATAGTCTGGGGGTGGTATTGGGGTTAATCGGGGTTCGGAGATGACACCCATTTCGTGTCTGACTACCCGACAGCTATTCATCCATCTGTCTGTTTCACTATCGACTTCTTTCATCCATTCATCTATCTATATGTTTTTTCCTCAATATATGCTATGATAGAAATTGATGTGTGATATATATGCGAATGTGAGTGTTTGTACCCTATAGTATGAGCTGTATCGAAAAGGCTGAACCGGGAAGGAAACAGACAAGAAGCACATTGATGGAGATACAAAGACGAAAAAAACAGCGAGACTAACAACGCGGGTAGGTTGTTAGTTGGCTGTATGTCGAGCTCACGTCAATACACCAGCCCAGGAAAAGAATGGGCAGAAGGTACGGCTGACGCGCAAACAACAGCAACAGCTACTAGAAAGTTGGTACGAATAATATTTATATATACCCTTGGACCTAGAAGCAGGTCTAAGTCCGAAGTGGCCAAGCTTGCTTGTGGATATTGTCGCTGCAGTAGTCACAACCATTGCGGCCGCTCCAGCTGTTGTCGCTGTCGTTATTGTTGATGTCCGGCCAAAAAAAAGACATAGCCGTGACGAGTGGCCTGCTTACGTCGGGGATGGTTGCAACGCCGGGTGAGGTTGCAGGCAGCAATCCTCATCTTTCTTCACTTAGGTCTATATGTGCCCATCTCTGTCTGTCCTATTTACAGTCAGCCCTCTGCTGTAGTCCTACAATGTCCTGCCTTCCTTAGGAGTCCGGTTGAAGCCTACAGTCCGCCTGATCAGACCGGAACAGAGCCGGTCACTTCTATCCGCTCGTTTTCCGCCGTCTGCCCAAGTTCGTTTTTCCTTCTTGGAGAAAGCCAAGTTAGGCAAGGGAACCAATAGAATCCACGGAGCTAACAGCTCACGCGCCTCGCACCTTTGGCTTCGTACTGCCGTTGCTGTAGCATTCACAACAGAAGCAGCAGCGGCTGCTAGCGGCTCGCAACTTGACGGTGGAGACGTGTAGTCCGTTGCTAGATAGGTAGGTGATATACAAGGTAGCAAGTCTCTTGCAGACAATGCTAGAAGAAGAACCAATCCAGAAAAGAGGCTTAGCGGTGATCTCGTAAGCTTTCCCGCCTTTGGTGGGCTTGCGTGTCTGGTCTGTAACATACCTTGGCTAGTAGAAACAGCGGTGGTAACAACTAGGTAGCTTCTATGCTGATACTGCAATTGTAGCGTGTTTGACTACTAAATTTAGCGATATGTGAAATGATTTAGGTCCGACACCGGTCGATAATAGGATATATCTCCCCGAACTAGAAACGGGTCAGCCAATTGAAGCAGTAACAGACAAGAAATTTCAAACAATGATCTAGTGGTAGCTAGATATACTTCTAATGTGATATCTAGCGGGCGCCTTGGATATGACACGTGCGCTATAAATGTATAGATTAGGTATTGATGTATATCAGGTATTTGGTCTTTGGGTACACTCACGTGAAGTTAGTACAGTGACGGACCTTAGAGCTACGTCATTACTAAAAGTAGTAGTAGCGAGATATAGTTCTTATATGGACGACATATTATCGTGCATAGATAGATGGTTAGTCTGTACCGAGGTGTTCGGTGTCGTGCTTGAGCGGTTTGACGACTGATGGGGCGTGTGTCCCAGTTATCAAGTATCTGTATATGTAAGCTTGGATAAATGGATAGGAATTGGTGTCGAGAGACGTCGCGGCATTTCCGCTGCAACTGCTAATCGCGCAGCGAAAGATATTGAAAAGGGATTTAAAGGAACACTGTTGTTTACGTCGATCCAACGGCATATGCCAGTCCGTTGCCAGAAACGGAGACACGTACCGAACTTTGTTTCCGCCTGGGCTAAAGGGTATGCATGCCTCAAAGTGAATATGTACTAATTTGTAAAATTGTACTGTTACAGAGATTAAGACCCCATCGGGAAGTAGTCCAAATAGTTACAGTACTACATATACGCAAACGTATAGTGACCTTACACATTTCTATGTATGCTAATGGAAAGTAGTTTTTCTATTATCGATTTCGATCTTAGGTTCCCCTTACCCTAGACTGCGCGAATGAATATACATCTGTAAGTCTGTATTTACCACCCACAAAGGTTACTCCTCGCCCCGTCGAAACCTACTTCTAATGCAGTCCCATCTCCAAACAGTCCACGAATACCAACAGTGACTAATTAGCGCTGACGTGTTCAAAAACGAAAAATCAATGCGAGACGAGAGGAGGCGGAACCGCGATTCACGAAGTTCGCCCATTTACGACGCGACACATTAATCAGCCCCCAGTGATTGCCACAGTCGTTGTAGACGTAGTTATCTGCTCCGTCATATGAAAGTATACGTTTTCGAAAATTACACGGATGTTTACTCGGATGGCCTTTGATGTACGTGTCTCTCAAAGCCGGCTTGCTTACTTCTTTTTTGTGGAAGCGGCCGGATAACCATATGCTGTAGTCGTTTTCATTCTTGCGTTCGGGCCAAATTGCCTTTCTCCTTAGACATTTTGTGGCTCACTTACTGTTGACCCTCGCCAAATTCGTCACGTTCCAGGTGTGAATAACAGCAGGATAAATCATCGTTTGCATCAAACTGCAACTATTAGGCTGTAGTCACGGTCCGTTCTTCTGTGTTGACACATCGTACATGGCTCTGTGTAGGTTCGCAAATATTGCCACGAATGCTTCTTCAACGTTGTTAAGTTAGTAACTTGCTTGCCCGTCCGTACCTGTAGAGTTGTCAACCTCGTATCAATGCTATGGACGTGATCTCTTCATGGGAGCACTGTCCAAAGTCTTTTGCCCTATGTGGATACTATATAACATACTTGAGCGCGTTTTTTTTTTCTCAGACAGCAGTACTATGCGCGTGTTCAAGTGCTAACGATAACATCCAGCGATTTCAGAAAAAAACGTTTGTTACTTAAATCAGCTCGCTTTAATAGCCATTCATAAAGTGTGCAATAATTTATTGCATACGTTTGTGTTACGAAGGCCGCTGACAATACTTTTGCTATTCGTGCCTTGACAGGGAGGCAATATAGGGAACTCTAGGTTGAAAGTTGAAGAGTTCATCCCATACCGAAGGGTGCACGCTGAAGATACGCGAGCGACAGCCACCGAACATGTAAGTATCTATTGTTCAAGGGAAATACACGTAAAACATTAGAATAAAGGAAAAAAATAGTCGTTCCAAAAACTACGTAGGACAACCATGAAATCCGTCTAACTGCTATTGCTGGTGATACAGTTTACGTTTGACAATTGCTTGCATAGAGAACAATAAAAATTATAGAATAGTTGCCAATTCGCGGGTGAACCATTCGGTTTAATGAGAAATCATCTTGAGTTGGTTCATAATTTCAGTAAAACAACTTACGAAACACCAACGTAAATTATCAACGTGCGTATAATTACTGCTGCATCATGGGCACCTGATGGTGACCTAGGGAACGGCATGGTCTCTATAAAATCGCAAAAAAAAACCATCTTCACTGCGGTCTAAGGTGTCTAAACTAGGGGAACCAAGTTAAAATATGTGGAGATTTTAAGAACATTATGCTTCTACTATCAGTATGAGTTCGAAATTGTTTCATTGACTGTTATTGAGATATTCTCGCCGAACTCATCACGTTATAGCTGTCAATAATATCCGGACAAACCACCATGCGGCCACCAACTAAACTGCGGCCATTAAGTTATAGTCACGATCCGTTCTTCGCTGTTGACGCATCGTGTACGACTCTGTGTCGGTCGTATGCTTGGGCATCTGTAACTTCTGGCGTTCGATGCTTAATATGAAACTAAATGGGCTAAGTTATTATCAAAATCTTAATTTAGGATACAGTTACATTGAATTCGTTGAGAGTAAGTTAATGCTAGATCTACTCCCTCGTACGGCTTTAAATCATTACTATTGTATTATATACTTATCTATATTTACAATAATTATTAATATTTTTTATAATACACTGTTGGTTGGCCATCCTAGCATACGAGGAATACAAGGTCGATAATACGAAATAGAGTAAGCCCGTCTTATTGAAGCGTTACAAAATTTCGACATCTATTTTATATATATATATATATATATATATATATATATAAAACTCAGGTTTTTCAAGAAAAACTTTTTCAGTAAGCTGCCACTTAAAATGAGACATAAGATGGGAATTAGCGTTTCGTTTTGAACAATCGCTAATAGATAATAGTCGAAGTGTCAATGAAGGTGGTTCGCCTTTATTATTAAACCTAAAATATGGCAACCTTTATTTAACTACCTCACTTGGTTAATTGTCTATTGGAATATGCCATAGAAAGAGTACCGTGCTCCATAAAATGACGAGCACTTCTCTCGGGGCTATTGAACAAGGCATCGTGGTGATCATAGCGTTTATATACACGTGTACGCGTATTGAATAACGTGATAAAAGGAAGTACCAGTTTTACCACTGAGTTACTGATCCAACTTCGACAGGCATATAGTATCGATGACACACCACTAGAATATTATCCGATCCTGGTACCTTTTATTCTCCATTTTATAAAAAATGTCCGTCGGTTTCGTGTTATTTTTATTTTTCGAATACAACGTTTTAATGGTTTCAATGGCACCTTCGGCCGGTTAGGCTCATTAACAGATACGCGCGCGCACAGTTGAGGTAAATTAAGTTGGATTGACCCGTCTAAGGCTTAGTGCTTAAAGGCAGTATCGGACTTAGAGCTCGATACATTTATTAGGTTCAATCGTAGAAAAGGCTCCCCTGACCTCTATTTTATTCGATTTTCTTTTTATACCACTCCGCATTTAATTCATGTGACATCCCTGTTGCCACGGTTGGTTGAGTCGGAATTGGTTGTACTGTCCAAATAGGATTTTTAATGAGCCAATAATGCTGACGCTATTTTAGGACGTTACCATTGTCCACTCATAATCGCTTTATGCAGTTAATTGTCGAAAAGGTCCCTTGAGTCTCGACTTTAAGTAGTGGCTTCAATCGCGGCAGAGACGACGACAGCGTCGGCGGCAATAACCACGACTGAGGATTTTTGCTTGGAGGACGAGCCACTCGGATTTGGAGTGGCTGAACCGATTCTCACTTGAAGATGTCCGGTCCCTCTGGAATCGTGTCGTTTTCATTTTCTTGTTCTTCTTTATGGGTCAGCAGCGGGATGTTTTTCTGCTTTCTGTACTTTTTTCCTCTTTACGGCATTGTTTCCGCTGTTATTATATCGCCAGCAGCTACTAATTTCTCATTTTATTGACGCCGTCTGACTTGTTTCCCCTAGCCCGTTCCCCTCGGTGAGCTAGAGTCATGTTCGAAGGTAAGGGAGAACAACGGGCATGTTCTAATTAAATGCGTCACCTATCTCCCCGATTACCCCCTACCCCCGTACCTTCAGCCAATTCTCTCTCTTCTCATTTCGTGGGCTAAGCTAAAAACTGGTCTAGTGTTCTCCTGTGAAACAACAACAGCAGCAGCAGCAGACTTACATAACGTTTAAGTAGTGATTTTTTTATCATTGGGTGTTGCTAGCTAAAGTCCTCATATCCTGAAGCAGATTTACCCCAAGCATGCCAGTCCTGGTCTGTACGTATTTTCATCACCCCGCTGATGCTCGGTGTAAAGCTTGGTCTGGCGTGGCCGTGTGCTGCGTCAGGACATCAGATCCCCACGGGGCAATGCCTGTCGAACTGTTAGTGGAGCTTCTAGCTTCAGCTGGCAGATATAGGAGGTAATGGTGTGACGAGAAGGGGCTGACCAAGGTAGACGGACCCGCCAACGACGTAGTCGTAGCTATTAATGAAGCTTAGTCAGGTATATTTTAACGAAGACGACGAAGTGGATGCAATTCATCTATAGGAGACGTATAACTGAGGTAGCATATATGTATATATAAAGGATCAGTTTTTAAAACACAATTGTCTCTTCATTTCTTCTAAATTGTTTGAATCTTCAATAAGCAAAAAATTCAAGTGAATAAATATGAGAAAATATTTTCGGAGGAAATTAAGCGGCTAAGACATTCAAAGATTTACTAAAGGCAACATAAGAAGAAAAAACGACCAATTGTTTTCCATGCGTTCGCCAGGAAAAAAATCAAATTGACGAGCGCAATTTCAAATCCGAATACTTTACTAGCTCTACAATAACGATAGATCTGAGGAAAACACGATATAAAAGTACTCATAAAAAGGAATGGGACGTAAATTGATTGGCAAGCAAGCTTTCGGTAAAATTGGCACAGTTTGTCAACACTTACCTGTTCGTCGCTTTTATGAGACAGTTAAATTCTTCTACCAGACAAAACAAATCTGCAGACGCGGATCGTCATCGTAGCGGACCTCGGTGGTCTGCCGGTGGATGTTCAATGAATAGTTTACCACACATATTCAGTGATGGGCCTGCTCTATCGAGTTATCGCGGGGCGTGCTTGTCCACTCCTGACGTGGTGTATACTCTCAGCTGTATTCAAAAAAGCATTACAGTTTTATTCGTCCGCATTTAAGGCTGTGTCGAAAGAGGATTGCAGTTCTGAAGAAGCTGTTGAAAAGCCCAGACGAGTAAAATAGAGAGCCGAACTGATAGGGAAGGCTAAACTAGCTGAAACGATAAGAAGTGACGCTGTTTCGTATTGTTGTTAGTGTTGTATGTGAGCGCTGTACGTATGTAACGCTTCGTCACGTGACTCCCTCTTTGTATTTCAGCGTTTCCATTTCACCCTTGATGAAATCCTTCGAAGAACTGTGTTGCTCCTTTTTTTTTATACTTATCGATGTAATCGAATTTCTAGTCGGTCAACGTTACCTGCGAGCCTTTTCACCACTTTTTTTGATCAGCTCGCTCTTTTTACAAGACTGTTTTTGCACATTTCGTTCACCCCCACCCTAACTCGCGAGCCTCATCTATTCAGGCACCGCCTTAGCGAACGCTTTCCAAACGCCTTTCGATGTTTTCTTCAGTTAGAAGCTTCCTTTACTCCAAATTCCGCTAGACACGACTCGTGTCGGTTACCGGTTACGGGTGTCGTGCGCCTCCTACCCCAAACCATGCCCAAACTCTCCCTTCGCATTACCTTTTTCGGGGCTATCCGTGACGTGAGGTGGTTGAGGCATCCCTGAATTGTATTCTGCTTTTTCTTCACTACCTCCTGGTGTCCTTCATTCAGATAACGGTGTTGGTCTCCCTCGGCAATGCTTTACCCTCGCCAGTCTGCTTCTCATATATTCGCTTGTCCTGCGGTTCTTTAATAGGCCCAATGGCGCTGTCCGGTTCACTTCGTTTTCGTCGTCTCCTGCAGCTTCCTGGTCTCTCTCTCTCTCTCTCTCTCTCTCTCTCTCTCTCTCTCTCTCTCTCTCTCTCTCTCTCTCTCTCTCTCTCTACCTATCTCTCTCGTTGCCATCTCTTTTCTTTTTCCTGGCTTGTTTTCTCGTAATAAATCGCTCGCTCGGGCTTGGTTTTCTTTATAATCTACATCCCGCAGGTCCTCTCTACTCGGATACCCGTTTCCTGTAGGATTTTGCTCGTCAGTGGGGCTGGTAACGCCAATCGCTCGAGCAGTGATGGTCGTTGTGCTCTACAGAACTAGCTAGCAAAGTGCTCCAATGACAGCATTTGCCTAGCCTTGTGGGAAAATTCGCTCGCCTGGTTGCCTGGTGATAAGCTTCTAACTCCAGCCCGTACCCTCCTTGTGTCCTTTGCCTGATTTATGCTTCGAAGGGCGACTTTTTTGGACATGGAGAAAAAAGATCTACCTATCTGAAAAGTGTCGATGCTACTGCATCGGCCGATATTCTGTTGTTGTTGATGTTGAACTGTCAGTCGATTCAAGTGTTTTTCTTTTTTATTTTCATTTTCTATCTCCTTTCAATGGTCCTTTATTCATCTTTGCCGGCTGGGCTAAAGGTGATCAACGCCGTGCGCCGACGTCTGACCGTCAGGGCTACAATAGCAATGGAACTGCATTATAATCTACTTTTTATTCCGCAATACTTTTGCCGGCTAGATGATTGGAAACAGCAACACAGATTGAATTCCTGGCTTGTGTCTATGGAGACGGATTGGAAACGAACGTTTGCATAAGAAAAACTATATGATTTGTCTGTGTCCGGAACATGAGGTGAACAGTTGTTGGGTACGACCAGCAGGCTACTGCCGAATCGACCGACATCGATAGGATGGTTTGGAAGTTTGGAATCGCTGTCCTAAGTTTGAACTTATTGAATATTAGCGACCCTAATTTTTGTTAAGCTGTTGTCTTGAAAAAGGGATTATTTCTAAAAAGGTTCCCACGCATCCCTTAAGGTTAAGGATACTGTATCCTTTTGATTAGTTGTTTTTTATAATACGTAAACTTTTTCTCTCGCTGTATCGCTTATCGTACACAACAACGTGTCACTGCGATCATTTTTGAAGGAAGTTTTGTCAACTTTTTTGACATTACGACGTCCGCTTCTTTCCTGTCGAACAAAGCGCAACTCATGGAGATCTCACGCTTTAGCGATTCAAAAATCGGCTCGACATTGTGCAGCAGAACCTCGTGTGGGCATATAATAGATCTGTTTAACTTAGCAGTAAATGCTTAGAAAACCTTGGCTTCTCTAGCCAGAACCATAGTTCCTTCTAGATAGAAAAGCACCTCGCTTAGATTTTATTGAATGCAGCAAATCATTAGTACCTAACCAATATAACGTCACCTTATAAAGTTGTATTGGACGACCGCGCAGGTGTCTTTAATTGATGTTTTTGCGAAGGTAAACGGGTTGTGATCTACGGGCCTTGGCAAATACATTGGTATAATTACTCTATCTCCTGTGATACCGATTGTTTCAAAGTAACGTTACGCAAATTCAGCCCCACCCTCCCTTATATATATCTGTATATACACACCTAATTCGAAAGGCATTATGTGATTGTAAATGGTATTTTCAACACGCATCATCTAGACACACCAACAACGATTATCAAACATAAGTTTTTGAAATCGATGCTTTTCAATCGTATGGATAAGTATGCTAGCGTACTGGCGGAGATGAAACAGCATACCACTAATATTAGCCTCGAAAGTTTGTGCTTTGTCGGAGCTGCGCCACTGCGAGTCAGAATGGGCAGAAAGGAAAAGGGGCCGAAACACGACCCGCGGATTGAGCCGGACCTGTTGTCACCAGTTTAACGCACTGACCAACTACTTGTACTCAAGGCGCAAACGACAAAGGCTACGAGGACCGACCCCTATCTGTTGGAACTATACGTGGCTGCATAAAAAAAAATCGTCTCAACGTATGCTGGATACTCGCAGTAGGCCCTCCGTGAAGGCGGAAAGCTTTTCCTATAACCTACGACGCTTTAATGAAGCATTTTTTAATGTTTACCGTCGGCGATCCGAAATTTAAGGCATGGCCTTAATTGACTTTGCCATGCCCTCTGAACCGCTGGCGAGAAAAAACTGCGATAAACAAAATTGCAGGCAAAGGAAAAGGATCTACTCGTTCGTTTGTCTTTATTTGGTGAAAGCTCGATGTTTTTTTCAATGTTTGCTGAGATCACGCTGAATGGAAACTGAAAATGACGTTCTTGTCAACCTTTAATGATTCTTTCGGTTTTTTTTTTCTGTTTTATTAGTAAGCATACTATTAATGTTTGAGATAAGTGTTCATTGGTGCTTATTCCTCTGACCTACCTAACGAAAGATGTTATTTTGATCTTAATATTCCACAGGCTCAGATATTATCAACTTTGTCTAAGCAAATACAAAACAAAACAAAATTATTTTAAGGGATTGCGAAAATAACGTCCTTTTCTTAGACGTACAGATAAGGCTCACAAAAAAAAAATGAAGATCTAGCCGACTCCAAATATTTATCTGAATATTATCGTTAGGACCATTTGAAAGAACGGTATTCGTAATAAATGATACTCGATAACTAGAAGCCATTTTCAAACCGGCCAAGCGTATCTTTGAATCACCACGTAATGAGAAATACGCGCATTGGCTGCAATAGTATAATTAGCGAGCTAATGTATGGTTCTACAATCTCATTGTACTTAAATATAGCTTACGTTGCGGGAAAAAAACGACCCTTTCTATTAATTTACTTGTGATATGTGTTTCGGGATAGTAACACAAAACAAATTACGAACTTTATTAAAGCCAAATACGGTACTTGCATGTTAAATGGCATCGTGTATGAAAGTTCACCACACGGATTTAACCGTAGTCCATGTAAGTAAATATTCTCAAAAAAGGGTATATCCTCTGAGATATTATATGTATTACCATACACACGTGTAGAGAATGAAAATAGTAACTACGCATCACTTTTGAACCAGTGCCATGAGTGGACTGAATAATAGATCGCAAAAAAGTCTCAATTTGTATTGAGTGTGATAATCTTTTTCTTATAATCCTATTTTTCTCGTGCTTTTGCTTTTTTTTTTCTGTTTAGGGTGTTTCGGGTGATGACTATCGCCTTGGTGGGGGGTGCCCTGGCTACCCTTTTAAATGACAGTCCAGCGCACAGCATTGATGAATTATCTCTCGAAGACTATGATATCGAAAATTTGACGCGGTTTTTTTTCGAAGGTACCGGCGATTATCACGACCCTCTAAACTCACAGTATCGACTCAGAGACCCCGATGAACTGCTGAATTGTTCGCAGATTATTCAACGGTACGGCTACCCCGCCGAGAACCACCTCGTCCAAACTAAGGATGGCTATATACTCGGTAGGTGATTTCAATGGTGGCTGCATATGTTCATATATTTCGGGGCCAACTCTTAGATTCTTGGAGTCACAATAGCTGGGAGCATGTTTGATACGAGTTGGGAGAAAGACGCCATCTTGAACAATACGATCGTTACCATATCGTTTGGGGTCTAAATGTCGCTCGATTGGACCAAGGCTGTTCACTTCGTTTGTCTAATGATGTGCTACGATTTCTGCTGGTTTCTAAACCCTGTGATCCTATTTTTCAATGCAACAAATTTGTTTTATGAGCACTGTCATTGCATTTTTCAAAGTGTCTGCAGAAGGAGATTTGTTAGAGCGATCCCTGTTTTTCAACGTGAAGGCTTTACTATACTGATGATTCACGTCAGTAACGTAATTAGTAGTATTTGCAATGGAAAGATACCGTGTTTATTCATCACCGGAATCACTTTATTCGTGGAAGACTTTGACTGGCATGCTGGCAAAATCTGTACACGTAGTGATTCCGTCCTGATCAACCCGTTCTCATAGAGGTTTTCCTATAGGATTTGATTTATCGCTTTCCGGTTTGTTTTCTTATCACTAGAAACTACGAAATGTATACGTTTTCAAATCATATTAATATTGTTACAGGTCCGTTTAGAGTCGTAGAAAGCTAACGTTAGTTATATGTATCGTTTCGCTTGTGAGGCATGCCGATGAAGAGCGTATTTCTTCAAATCAATATGATTATGAGCAGCAGATAAATTTAATCTAATGGCCTCGTGAGAGCAATCTCTAATTGTAACAAGTGTATTTACTTTGTTTATCATATTTATCAGAGTTTTATTATGACATATATATTTCGAAAAAATATTGACATGATTCTCTTCAAATACACATGGAAATCACCACACGAGGATGTGTACAAATAATATTAAAACGAAGAAAACTATTATTCCAGCCAACTGCATCCCTACGTGTATATCAGGCCCGAAGGAAGCGTCAGCTGATTTCCTAATAATAACAACTATCCACATCAAACAAAACTGAGCTTCTGAGCGTTGTGATCTTCTTGCTCGTTGTTTTCTCTTGCCTCTATTTGTCTTGTTCTTTTTCTTTATATCTAAGTTATGAAGAGAATGAACTCCACTTTAGTCTTTCCATGAACCATATATAGCCAAAAAACAATGCATTGCAGTGGTAAAAGCTATTTGTCTGTCTGTCTGTCTTTCGAGACATTCTCATGACAACGCCATTCCCTTGGGAAAAAAATCCTGAAGAAAAGGCGCTAAACAGCCTCGGAACTGTCGCTCCCCGTAAATGAGGTTCAACGCAGCAATTGGCTGCTTTCCTTTATCTCATCTGACAGTGTAAAATGAACCTGGTTTTCTAATAGTTGATATTTCATCGCTAGAGCTAGTCAGCATCAAACATGTAACGAACATAAATAGACTTGTGCATGAACAATACATCCAAGGTGACTTCGCTGTGACGGAAACAAAAACAGCGCACAAAGAAATCTTTAGGCCCTTGGACACCAGCCGACACAATAGAAAAACTGGTGAAGAAAAAATTCGTTCACCAAAAAGGACATTGCTGAGGAGCTATTCCACCGTCCAGAGGCTCATGTACTGTTTTAAATGTCCTGGTGCGCCTGAAACGGGTTACGGCACAATAAAGCCTTGATGTGCACCGACCTGAATCTAGAGTAGGTATAGGAACGATGTACATTTCAGATACTCAGACGATGAAATCAGTAAAAGAATGACAAATAAAGCAATCACATCCTCCTTTCCCTATCTACTACATATTGATACGTGAGCACAATTAGTCCACTCCCCATAGAAGAATACATGCCCAAACTCTACCAACTGCTACAACTGTTATAACCATAAATTATCTCAGCTCTAACGCGAGTAACAATAGAGCTATAAATATCGCGACATCAGTCATGATACCCATGATGATCATGATAATACAGGGCCGAAAAGCAGGAATCATTCCTCATGTATTCGCCACCGTTTGTCAATCGTTCCAACTCTACAACAACTATCAGACGCTGACGCTCGGAAATGTTGTGACACAGGCAAATGGCTACACGAAACTGGGAACAAATAGGGGATCAAAACATCGAAAACGTGGCGGACGGAGTAGTCACAGCGTCGCCAGGGGCGGGCTCTTGGGTTTCTGAGAGAAGCAAAAGAACGCAGCAGGCAAGGTGATGACTGGCTAGACAGTAGAACACAGCCAAACAACGGCTAAAGTCTCAGACCGCTGCTAAGCGTACGAGGACTTTAACAGGTTGCACGAAGCTGTACTCAGCAGGGGCAACCAGAATGAAGCTTGCAAGCCTTCGAGGCCTTATCGGCAGAGGCCGCTGCCGCCACCCTGGTCACAAGCCACGAACGAAGCTTGTGTGGCTTTCAGCATTTCTCGTCCACCATAGGCCGTTGCCTACTGTAGCGTGGCTTCGTTACTCGGATGGCATTTGGGGACGGTTGCTGTGAGGGGTAAAGGCCTTGCCGCTTCCACTGTTACTGCTAGTTCTACCACCACAACCGCGACGAGCTGGAGCAGCTTGCGTCTCCCGCCGCTGCCAACCCTGGTAGGTTAAGCCATGTGGAATGATTCCATCTCACGTACAGTACGACGGCTGCACAGCAGACAGAAGGCTGCAAGCACGAGGCAAAATGATGAGAAGGCCACAAGATCCAAACAAGCCAAAGATTCTGTGCTTGCTGAGCGCCTCTTCAACCACGGGGTCTTCGCTCTGCTCATAACTTTCTCTCGCTTGCTTTTTCTCTCTCTGTATGTCTCGGTGTTGGCCGGTTGGTCTTTCGGTGGTCCAAACAGGTCAAACGGAGAAACGAGAGAACAACCCTCGAGACGCATAGTCTGTGAGACTGAGTAAGCGGTAGCCAGTCGCATTCCCTGCCTGTCGCGGTAACGGCAATATGGGCCGGGGGTCTGCGGGAGTTGCCAATGCGTTGCTATAAGGGAAGCTAAAAGGCAAGAGATCCGCCTGGTTTAGGGATCTGGTCCTAGCCAGTGCGGCCGAGTTATAGAAGTCTTTCGAGGCCGGAATTACAATCACCTCCAAGTTCAGCGAAGGGCAGAAACGGAGCGTAAGGAGGAGTCGGGAGTAATGGATTAGATCTCCTCGCCTATGTGCCGTCATCACCACTAGCAGATGATCCGGGGGCAGCAGCGACCTGCAACCAGCAACTCCCGGCTTCTGCCCTCTTATTGGCAGAAAGGGTGTCCGGATCTGCCAGCAAAGCTTTGACCACCCCTCACGGTTCTATCCCAGCGGCTAGGCTATGGCCTTACATAAAGTACAGTAACGCAATGGTACGCGCTGACGACCTAGGGCGTTAACAAAATGAAAGCGGAAGAAGAGTCACCGACTAGCATCTAATGGTGCCACCAGTTTATTGGTGCGGTCTCGTCTCGTCGCGTCTATCCGCGTCAGCTAGGATCACAACTCTATTATTTCTACTAGAGGAAGAATACTGGCAAACCATCGTTAAGGAAATATCGCATGTGCGAGCTTCAAACCAATATATGGATCTGAGATACGACCTCATTGAGCGCATGTATGATAACGGTACATGGCAGATGGGAGGATCGAATGAACACTTCGAGTGGACGCATTCAATCTCCCATATTTCTATTTTCACATTGTTGAATATGAATTCACATTATCCTATGTTATGATGCCCGGGGCTGTTGTTACCGGTGAAACCTTGATAACGATATAATATGGAGTAGCTTTTTTTTTCCCATACCAATTGTGTACCTCGTGTGTGTAATTCGACCGTGCTATTGAAATGAGCTGCAAACCAGACTAATCCGAATCGATGATGGCTTTGTTTAATTTGAAACTACATTTTCTGTTGTTTTTGGGTCGCAGCTTTACTTTATGCATCTGCAGAGAAAAACGAGTAAAGGGTATCTTGCAGAAGTCAAGAAACTCACAAATATAGGTTTCCCTACCTACCCCATTTTAAGCATATAGTAGACTGCAAAATAGAAAAGCTTAGACGAAGCATTCGGATCTAATTTTCATCCGCGATGCATCACTTCGAAGCTGGAAGCAACCTCAGATCGACATTTCTGTTCTAGTGGGTTGAAAAGTTCTTTCTTCATATATGTTGTATTACGAACATGTAGATTGGTTTTTACCTTGCGATTTCATATTACTTAGGGGGTCGCTTTCCACTACTTATTAAGTCTGATTACAAAGAAAATCAGATATGATATAAAAATCATATACTATAGTCAGATGAAGTTCACATCAGGTAGCAGACCGAATGGTGCGCACATTCGCTCCGGTTAGGATTTAGTAGTTCGGCTTTGGTAATTAAGTGCAGACCGGTGGTGGCTTCCTATGAGAACCCGTCTGGCGGTGCTTTCCCCATTCGCTCTTAGGAGACCTGGGAGTTCAGCTAGATTGCAGTAGAAGTTCGATAACGCCTTCTTTTCAGTGACAACAGTACATACGAGTTTCCTACTAGTCTCGGCTCGAAGGCTACGCGGCGTTAAGACTTATGTCCCTTTGATTCCATGACAATCATTGCTGCGCCTAAATACCATTTTGGTGGGTCCTGTATACGCTAACAATAGCTTTAGCGACGCAACATTTCTATCGCAATTACCTAACGCCGGCTTGCACTTACTACTAGTACAACTCTCCGTACGCATTGCGCAGTGAACAGATCACTGGTGTCAGTCGACGGGAAACGAACAGCGGACAACAATGCATAAGAATTTTCGTAAACCATCTACTCTTCTCAACCACCTCAGCTACCTTTATAGACCCCTCTAGCCACCTGCAGTGGCTGCAGCATTCGGCACATCGTAGTAAAAACGCCAGCCATTTTGACGCACCGTGCACGGAAGGAAATATCTCTGGTAGAAGTGCTTCAAGAACCCCGTTTGTTCCCCTGCCCCAAGCGGCAAAAGCGGAGGTACTGGCATTAGCGAGAGGGCTAAATTCAGCGGGCTTACATGGCCAAACGGGCCCGGTAAGCC